AAGACACATCATATTTTCAAACTGCAACACTACAATGTCTGGCACAAAGTGAGGCTGTAAAAAACAGTAATGGTAATGATGATGCTATCAAATAACATGTAAAGCACTCACTGTATGCCAGGTTCTGTTCTGGACATTCATCACCTCCTCTAGTATTTACAACAGTCCTCTGAGAAAGGTCCTGTCCTGCTATTACTAATGGGAAATGGCAACACAGAAAGGTTGAGAAATTTGTCAAACACCACACAATAAGTGGCAGAACCCAGAACCGACCTTAGGACATCTGTCTGCAAAGTCTGAGCCTTCAATCACTACAGTGTTACTTTCTGCTATCTTCACTGAATCTGCCTACCTATGTTATGTGTCAGATGCTGCTATAAATGCTTCGCATGCCAGACATGGTATCCTAGCACTCCAGAAGCTGAGGCAAGAGGATCACCTTGAGTTCTAAGAGAGCCTGGCTACACAGCAAGTTCTAGGTCAGCCTGAACTACATAGTGAGACCCTATCTCTAAATAAATGAATGAATGAATGAATGTATGCATGCTTAGCATAAATCAACTCACTGAACCCTACACCTGCCTATGTCTCATTTCACTACTATGTTTGTGTTAAGTGCTTATAATAACACAACTGGATAAAGAAAAGATAAAGACAATGTAAAGAGAGAACTATCAGTTTACAGTACAAAAAGAAATGAGATAGAAGCTGAATATTCACAAAAAACATCAAGGAAGCTTTAGATGGAAAGGGAGATTGTTACTCATGACACAGAATGGACAGCAAAGATAATGATCCATTTTACTAGCTTCTTAATTTTCTTGAAAAGCCAGATCATTATAAAAACCAATATAGTAATAGGTAACAATGTAGTGGAAAGGTTGGGTTTTGACATGAAATATCTGGTTTTTTTTTTTTGTTTTTTTTTTTTTTTTTTTTTTTTTTACTGCAAACTGTATGTCTTTCAATGAATTATTCAACTTCTCTGGGTTTTCTTTCAGAAAAGTTAGCTCAGTAATACCCAAAGTATACAGTTGTTTTACAATTTAACTAGAGAGAATGGAAGTGTTATATATAACATGGCACAGATGTCAGATAAATATTAGTGTCTTCCTCTAGCACAGAGTGGGACAAGCTGTAGTGAGTTTATTTTCCTGCGTTTGTGGAAAAGCTGAAGCCCATGCTCTTCAATGTGAAGAAAAATAAAAGTGTAAACTTCTCTTCCATCTAAAAATGAACATCAAAATATTCTGCTACAAGCAGAGGAAAGCAAAATAATTTTCTTTGTATTTACCTACAAAACAAAACACAATGTTTGTTCTGTGCCCGCAATGCCATTTTGGAAGGGTTTTTCAGCATACATCCTGTAAGGATGATACAGAAATGCAAATCTGATAAGATTCTAGATACTCATGATCATTTGCCACGTGCTCAGAAACTTCCTTGGTTAATTATTACTCAGGGCTTTTGATTATAGTGTAAGCTTCCCCAAGTCCCAATTTATGAAACAATCCCAGCATATGACATACTGTTTCTATGGATTTTTAAAAAAAATCTGATAAAATGCTTAGCTCCTACTTTTCTATCCTTTGCTCTTTCATCATGTATTCTGCAGTGCAACATTGATTAATACCACTTTCTTTTTTGCAAGATCTTCATTGTCAGTAAATTATTATTTGTGTCACAGAAATATAATTCTAAAACAATATGTTTTATGCTGTGATTGATGGAAAATATGCTTTTGACTTGGAGGGTGAGACCAATTTTCTAACACTTCAGTTCTATTTCCTCAAATGCATTACTGTTCTAAAGCATCAATTATGGCTAATAAATGACATTATTCGCACCTCAGTAAGTACTTGGTTTGGTTAAGCTTTAAGGACTCTCGACTTCAGCAATCAATTTCATTAACCACAGGAAATGGTTGATTTCATATAGGTTATTACCTTCATGTCCTATCACCCCCCAAGCTCCCATACACTCGCAATAGCTCTCCATATACATTTACACAGACTTCTAGGAAGTGTGCCAGATAAAACACATTTTAGAAGCCGTATTTATATATTTTTAGTTATTAAGGTTTGAGGTCCTATTTTTGCCCCACCTCCCTCTAAAATGCACAGTGTATCAATTAAAGCTAGACTACATAAAAATCACAAAAATAAAACAATAGAGGATTAGCCTAAATCAGGGGGCTGGAAGGACTCCTCATCACAGTTGAATTCCAGCGAGAAGGTAACAAACTTTCCTTGCTTTTTGCCCTCCACCATCTAATTGTCTGACCAGCCAAAAACGAGAATTCTCTAAGAATATTTCCTTGCCCCTCAGTTCCTCCATCCAACAATTCAACTCCTCTATCCAACTGGACTCAACCTGTCAATTCTTTCTTTTAAATGTCTTTTTAATCATTCATCTTTATGTTACTATCTGAGCTTTACCTTCTCATATTTTAAATTATAATACTAATGGTTTTCTAAGTTCTCAAAATTAAAATTAAAAACCTTATACAATATGTATGACAATAGGAAACAACTGTGATTACTTGGACTTAAGAACAAATATATCCCGGGAACCCTTTTACAGCTCTAACATGCAAGAACTCTTATCATTCTTTGGCTGCTTTGAGCAAGGTTTGCAGACAGCAAATCTGATGTCTCTCTTCCCTGCTTAAACAGGCCTCTGAACTCTGCTTGTCTACAAAGCCTAAATTTCACAAGTATTGATTAAGTCCACATAAGAAACAGGATCTGTTGTGCTCCATTACTCTGGAAGCTATTACCCTGGACTCCAAACACCTCCGTGGAATTTGGCCAATGTAAGAATGAGGTGCGATCAAAGTACATGGTAAATGTTAAAATATTTGAAATTAGAGTATAAGACACATTGCAATAACGTTCCTCAAAATAGTCCTCCTGACTTTGCACATGCTTATTCTATCATTCTTGCCACATTTTGAAGCGGTTCTGGAAGCCTTCTTTCATGAATGTCTTAAAGGGTATGATCAAAAATACAGTGAATGCTGTAGCTACCTGCTATCCAATAGACAGACAGACTTATAAAAACATTACGGAGTGTCCTCATCTACCTTCTTCACCAGGTCCAGAACTATGCAACTTCTAGGTCTTCCTTAAAGTCAAAATATCATGAAAGGTAAATGTTTTGAATAGATTCAGGAAACTGAGTTAGCCATGACAATATTACTAATGACACTAACAAGTACACTTCTATATATGCTTCTAAAAGTGCCAACAATGATACACAAGTATGTTCAAAGTGAGGGGAAAGATTCTGAGGTGGATTAATGATAATTAGTCTTTTACTATTACAACCCAAAATATTTAAACATTCACTGTATTTGTTCAGTCATAACTCAGTCTTCCACAGGTGATACTGAAATACAGTTTTTCCATATCTTTTGAACCAAATGAACTTTCTCCCAAAGACACAAATCTATAAAACTAAGATCACTTTTTATTCATTTATTTTGGATTTAGTCATTTCCTAGCACTAATTTTAGATTTAGTAGTTTCCTAACATTATTTTATTTATTTATTTATTTATTTATTTATTTATTTATTTATGGTACTAGGGATCAAACTCAGGACCTCACGCTTCCCAGGAAGGTGCCTGTGCCACTGAGCTAAATTCCCAGCCCCAAATAACAAGTATCAAAAGTGGCCTATTCCAAAGTCTGAAACAGTGCGTCTAACCTTAGTTTATCAACTCCTCCTTAACCCACCCCCTTCAGCAAGCCTACCATGAATGAGGAGTGAAGACACGAAGAAAACACACACAAAAATTGTATCTGGAGTGTGGGAAAATAAAATGTTAATAAGTGAAGACACAGGAGCATCGAGGAGGGGTTTTCCAAGTAGGGAAAACAGAAGAGCAGTTCAAGTTCAAGAAACTGCCTGAGCAAAGGCAAAGAAATAGGGGCTGGAGATCTAGCTCAGCGGCATAAGTGCCTGCCTTGCAAGTGTCAGTCATGAGTTCGATCCTTGGTACCAATAAAAATGAAAAAAAAAAAAAAAAAGGCAAAGAAGTAGGATTATGTACAGGGCACCCAGCATAAAAATGGACCATGTAATAAAGAAAAACAAGTATCCATTGTGATAAATGAGATTTTCACATGTAACTCCCATTGTTAATGAGATATGACCATCACGAAATTATCAAATAAGAGTCGTTTCTATTACCAGTCAAATTACTGACTTTTGACATCAGGACAGGAAAAGGTTGCTCATGTCCACTGTCTATCATCTCATTAATAAGTTAAACTATTTTATATTGCACACACTGACATCACTAACTTAAAAATCCTTATAGTAATGACAAATTATTTTGCCACAATATACTTTTCATTTGAACTTTAACAAGTAAATTCCAAGTCCATATAGGAACCCTAATCACCCAGAACAAGAATTTCTTTAAAGAAAAACAAGCAGATTCCTAAACAATGAAACGATTTCTCTCATTTCCATCTTCCCAGTGCAGTGGTGGAATGTTGCCCCTTTAGAAACTGAGGAGATTCTCAGATAATGATGGTGTTGTGTAACTAGACAGCTAAAATTCTTAAATGATGCTCAAAGTACAATTAAGTGCTCAGATTTTTCAGACCCCACTTCACAAAACCCTTTATGAACACTCTTAAAGTTGCGTAAAACTTAATATTAGGAGTTTATTCTATATTTATCACCACATTATTTACTCAAAGTGCTTGAAGGCCATGGGATAATACACTTAACGAAATAGAGGGAAAGAACACAGAAGGACCTAAAGAAAAGAAACGCCTCCAAACTGAATTTTTAGCATCAGAAAAATTAAGACAGAACTTCACGTCCATATCCAATCCGAACAGAATTTTTTTTTTTATCAACAACATCAAATCACATGATATTTTGGATCCCAGTACCACCACTTTTTCACCTTTCTTCATCATCTTGCTTTATGCCTCTCCGTCTCCCAAAGACCCCCAAGAAAACATGTGTGGTTTTACTTACAATTGTGAAGTTCATGACTTTGAGAATCCAGATGGTCATGGCCAAGTTCACCAATATTAAAATCATGAGGAGTAGGACAAAGAAATACAGGCATCGTTTCCGCCAGCCGTAAATCCCCACTTTGTATACCTGTGGCCCCTCGGAGCTGGGCATGGTGCTCCGGTGGTGTGTATACTGCTCCTGAGGCATCTGAAACAGACAAGGTGACAGGTGAGAGAAGCACTGGCATTGAAGTACAGAGAGAGAGGGAGGGAGGGAGAGAGGGGAAAGGAGAGGGGGAAGGAGAGGCTAGCTCTAAAACTGTCTCCTCTAGACAAAACCAGCTCTGCTGTACGTTTTAGTTCCCCTCTTTCACACAGCCTTCTTTCCTACTATATACTGAGACACCTACATCACCACGAGGTAAGCGGCTCCCAGAACATCACTCTACACACCACTTGGAACTCCAACTTGGTTTCTTTTCAGAAACTTATCCAAGACCAACAGTGAAACTTGAAATTACTTTGAGAAAATAAATTAACCCCAGAACTTCATGTTTTTAGTATAAAGATACTAGCTTGGTAACTTATTGGGAGACTAAAAACAAATTTCAAATATGATCATCCGGTATTGCTAAACAGTTGGTAATGAGAGTACCCACTGGAACCTTTTCTCCTCTTTAGAGTTTAAAAGGAATCTGGCGGACCCACCGCTGAGTCTCATTTCACCTGGAAACCTTCAGCAACAACAGTCTCTGTGTGTCCTTTTGAGTTAGGCGACTGTAATTGCTGTCAATTTATTTAGTAAATGGAAAGGAGTGTCAAGTCAAGTAAAATGTGCACACACCTTAGAGGAACTTATAGGTAGACAGAGAAAGGAAATAGTTACACACTGATCATAGAGCAAAATGAATTATAAAAATGTTTGCCACCCCCAGTTCAAGTCCCTTGAGAGTAAAGATGCTTCCCTAAATCCCTGCTGACAAAATGATCCTTTTACTAGCATTAGTAATTGGTCTCCAACACAGATCCATACCATCAACCCTTCTTTAAATTTCTAAAGTCAAACAAGTTTAAAATTAAGTACAAACAAATCTATGCAATGCCCATCACACAAAATTAGAGATAAACAAGCATCACAAGACACAATTTGGTGAAACTGTTAAGAATGTGGTAGCAAGGGCTTCAGCGCAGGATCTTCAGACCACAGCAACCCTGAGCCCTACCCTGCCTTGAGCAGTGTGACATGGTCCCTACAGCTCTTCTCCATCCAGATTACTGCACAATGTTTATGGTAGCATTTCAGTTCATCGGGCCATCATGTAGGCACCCTGCCCCTCTCTATTCTCCACAAAGCCAATGGCAGTTAAACAAATGGTGCCAAAATGACAAACTAAAATCATAACCTGGCTATTAGGTCATCACCCAGAAGGTTTAGAAGATTATTTTAGACAATCAGTAAAATGTACACATAAAATCTAAACCTCTCCCATAGACTTGACAGCCACCAGGCATATTTGGCATCTGCCTTGTTCCAAACAGGACTTTAATGCTGAAATTTGAAATCAGTACCCATGTATGTTGACACAATGGATGAAACATAAATGCATAAATTACGAGCAAATGAATGAGTTCCCATTCACTGCTGGCTGTACTGCAGTCTGGGAGTATGTAACAGTCCAAGCCTAACATCACCAGGAGCTTCTTATAGTCATTCTTGCAAATTTCCATTTCTGGCTCCATGAACACTGGCTCCTAGATAGGAAGCTTTGTGCTCTAAGATAATCTCAACTCATTACTCAGTTCCCCAGACTTCTTCTGCAGATAAGGGATGTTAGAAGCAGATGAGTACACCAGCCATCATTCACTGGCCCATTTACACACCAAGATCTATCAGAATTAGCAATATCTTCTAAACTCAAAGGAAATTGTACTTTTATCTCTCATTAAATCATATTCTCATTAGAAAATGGGAAGTAAAAAGATCTTCCTCAGATGGGAAGGGGGTAAAAAAAATAAGATGGGTTATGTGCATGTACCAACTGTATGCAAGGAATGTAAACATTATCATGGCAAAGACATACTAACATAAATAAATACATACATAAAATCACAGGATCTTTCACATGCAAAGTCCTTTAGTTTCAGTTTCTCAATTTATGAAAAAGCTGAATTAACATTAGAGAATGAACCCACTGGGGCCTGGCGAAAGGGATTCTGAGAGCACAAGGACATAAGCGACCTACTGTTTCCTGCAGGCATGATAAACCGTGAGATGTCACACACAAGAATGTAGGGAACCTCATGACACCACCACCACATCAGCTGCTTTTTTCTGTCACTTGCCTCAGCCATCAGTATCACCACATAAATTAGATACAAATAGTCATTTACCAAAATGGAATGTTCAATAAATGTAAGAGGAAGGGGTATGCACTCCATCGTTGTGATTTTTTATTTATACACTTTTAGAACTTAACAGGATGCAGTATTCAGTTCAATAGGAATTCTCAATCCTAGACGCACATCATGGTCTCTTGCACAGCTGTTGAAAACATGTACACTCCAGTTAACAGTCACAGAAATCGTCATTTACAAAAGCTCCCCAGATAACACTATGGGTAGATCTGGATTGCGTTGGTCTACAATAATGACCTGCAACTTTGACTACACATTCAATTCCCAAAGAAACTTAGCATGTAAAATTCTGATCTCTACCAATAGAATCTGGGGCCATTTAGAAAAAAAAGCTGCCCAGATGAGTCTAAGCATTTGATAGAACATCTAAAATAAGGCTTCTGTTTTTTGTTTCAAAGAATAACCAATGTAAGACAAAAAATCTTGTGAGAAATGTTACTGTAAAAGAGGAGAATAAAAGCAGCAGAAATGAGGGTCTGGCTGCATCGGAGGCATCTCTGTGGGATTCTTGGGCTTCTAAGAAGCGCCGATTCTCTCTAGTGCCAGGACGGTCTAGCCGAGGTAATCAAGGCCAGGAAGCAGTAGGGCCCTTTTATGTCACATGGTGGATTAGAAGCTGAGGAGGTTTGCCACTCAGAGCCTTTGTTGTGCAGTGGAGTGGACCATTCTTGTTTCAAGAAGCTCTTGCCCCCTCCCTAGTCTGCTGAAACTAAACAAATGTGCCCCATGAAACACAACACTCCATTTCCCAGCTTGTAAAATAAATAAAGAACAGCAGTGAGCAATTTTCTGCAACTGGTTAAAAGACAAGGCCTTGCCAGGCAAAGATAAGTTAATGAATGCATCTGTTATTGATAACCTACCCAAAAAGAGAAAAGTTAGATATGCTGAGATCGTTCATTTTTCTACTAAAAACAAAAAACAACAACAACAACAAAAAAATCAAAATACACTGAAACATTATAGAAGAAAGGAGAAAGACAATGTCTAATCTGTGTATTTCTCTTGTTCCTGCCCAGAACAAATTTATTGTCCGGGGAAGGAAGCTGAAGTCGCAGGGCCTCATCTGCACAGGGCTCTCTCAAGTTTTTGGAGCAGGCCCCAGTCATACAAGTACACAGGCAAACATTTCTCTGCAACTGGAAAAAAGCAAACTGGAAACTGATTGTTTTCTCTACTGTGGCTTTAGAGTATTCATAGGTACTTTGGTGCCCATGAAGAGGACCTTGAATCAGCAGTTCATATAGGTTAGGAGCTATAGAATGTTTGTATATGTTGCAGGCACCTTTTTGAAGAGGCCCATTACTGCCAGCTCTGCTGGTATAGCTGTGCCTTCCAGGAACACATCTGGATCACAACCTCCCCAAGCATAATGACAAAAAGGGACCAGACTAAAAGGACGGACCTCTAGGTGAATGAGTCAGAGAGGCCAGCACAGAAATACTATGGTGCTCAGAGAGGAAATGGGGAGAGGAAATTTCCAGATGTGTCAAATTTTAATGGTAGAATTCAGTTTTCACTGATACTCAAAACGGAAATTCTCTTCTGTCAAGAATCTGCAATTCATTATATACAATTGTGAATGCTCCACACATTTTTCTTTTTTATCGAAATCACAGAAAACAGAATCAGAAAGCTTGTGTTTGTAGATTAGGTATACCAGGTGTTTCACCATGTAAAGCTGCAAATTTTATGTATCATAACCATCACTAATTAAAAACTTTGTCAAAACTGCCAGAGGAGATAATTACCTTTCTATTAACTATTTGCCACCATCATTCCCTGCCTAGATGCCCTGTGAAGAGGTAGTTAAAGACTCTGCAACTTAAATCTATAGAGATCTAGTTAATTACTAACAAAACAATATTATTCTTCTAAATTTTGTGCTTACCTTTTAAAAATTAATGCTTTAATTTCATCTCTCATTCTAAATTCATATAGTTTAAGCTGAAGTTTTTCACTGCTAAATTAAATTTTGTTTTCTTAAAGCAGCCACACATGTTATTGAAGCTTCTAGCCTCACAAATCCCAGATCCTCTTGCTTCTGCCCATCGAGCATCCTAAGTATACACCAAGAGCTTGGTGCAGCATTGCACAGACACTGCTGACAAGCTGGACTCAGTGGATGTACAATTGTCTCTGTTCCAGTGGGAAAGGTTTTTCAGAATTTAGGATGCACAGGAATCATTTTGGGAAATACAGATTCTTACATCTCACACAAAGAGTTCTAACTCACTAAGGCTGAGCAGTGCCTCAGAAATACATGTATGTTTAACAAATACCAAACTTCATATTGATCTAGGCACCTAGAGAATACGTCTGAAGTCTTAAAGTCTGCTCAGTGCAGAGATGAACCCCGGGCCCACCTTTGCTCCCACTAGTGTCTGTGGCCTGGATCATCCTCTTCCTCTCCCCTTCCTACATAAACCCCTTGGCCTTCCTTCACACTTCTGCTGCCCTCCGATCCTGGGGCTTTCATTGCCCTCACTGTCATCCAGAAGTTTATTTGTTTTTTAAATTAATTTTTAGAGGAGCGTAGGCATTGTCTTGCCCTCTTGAGTGGAATAATTGTTTTTTAAAACAACTTGCTACCAATTTCATTGAGCCCTTTAACTCTTGCCAAGTCATTTTATAAACAATTCTCGCATCCTGATAGAAAAGCTTCAAGGCAGTCATTGTCAATATTATGTTTATTTAACAGTTAATAAAGCCAAGGTATAGAGTAAGTGCACTGGTATATTTAAAACTAGACTCTTCATAGTTTTAGCATCTTGATCATTAAATAGGTACAAA